CCCTGGAGGCCTGAGATCTGATTGGCCCTGGGGGTCTGTGATCTGATTGGCCCGAGAGGCCTGAGATCTGATTGGCCCTGGAGGTCTGTGATCTGATTGGCCCAGGGGCTGTGGTGGGCGTGGCCAAGCGCGCTCACCTCCTCCTTCGGAGCCGCCTGCAGCTCCCGCCAGGCCAGCACGGGTCTCCCCAAGTCCACGGAGCTCATGGGGACCCGCACCTCCCCGATGGCATCGTTGCGGGAGAAGCGGTCGAAGTCGTACACCGCCATGACCAGGACCCTGCCTCCCAGCTCCACGTAGGGGACCTGGGTGGGGGGCGAGATCAGAGAGAGCATGAAGGCAGATCAGGGTGGGAAGCGACAAGTGGGGCAGCGAGGGGCGCAGGGAACAGGTGAGGGGGGGGTCCATGGAACCCAAATGGGAACAACCCAGGGGTCAGTGGAATGAATAGTCTCCAGGGTTGTTAGCGGCCAGCTGAGCTGTGGCTGCCTCCAGAAAAAGCTGAAAGAGGCGGCCAGTGTGGCTCAGTGGTGGAGCATCGACCTATGAACCAGAAGGTCACGGTTCGATTCCCTGTCAGGGCACACGCCCAGGTTTCGGGTTCGATTCCCCGTTTGGGGCGTGCAGGAGGCACCGATCAATGATTCTCTCTCATCGTTGATGTTTCTATCTCTCCCTTCCTCTCTGACATCAATAAAAATGTTTTGTTTTGTTGTGTGTTTTTTAAAAAAAAAAACACACAAAAAAAAACCTTACCTGCTTACTGATGCTGTATCTAAGGGTTTTTAAAAAATATATATTTTATTGATTTTTTTACAGAGAGGAAGGGAGAGGGAGAGAGAGTTAGAAACATGGATGAGAGAGAAACATCGATCAGCTGCCTCCTGCACGCCCCCCACTGGGGACGTGCCCGCAACCAAGGTACATGCCCTTGACCGGAATCGAACCTGGCCGGTCAGGGCAACAATTATGTTTTCTTTTTTTTAAATATATTTTATTGATTTTTTACAGAGAGGAAGGGAGAGAGATAGAGAGTCAGAAACATCGATGAGAGAGAAACATCGACCAGCTGCCCCCTGCACACCTCCCACTGGGGATGTGCCTGCAACCCAGGTACATGCCCTTGGCCGGAATCGAACCTGGGACCCTTCAGTCCGCAGGCCGACGCTCCATCCACTGAGCCAAACCGGTTTCGGCAACAATTATGTTTTTAAGGAAAGAAAAAGTTGAAGGGGTTGGTCCCCAATGTTCCAGGGACTGGGGGCAGGCTGCCCAGGGTGGGGCCCTGAGGCCTGGTGCTCACCTTGAAGGCGAAGGTCTCCCCAAAGTGTGGGTTCAGCGTCTGCCGATGCACCTTGGTCTCATGCCGCCTCCGCTTGTCTGGCAGCAGGTAAACCCGCACGTAGGGGTCCGAAGAACCGCCCAGATCCAAGGCCGCCAACCCCTCGGCTTGCAGGATGCCCACCAGCAGCTGTACAGGGAGGAGGATCCCTGGTCTGAGCTGCCCTTCTGCACCCTCCTGGGTCCCTCCTCTCCAAAGCCTCCCCCTCCTCCGCACCCACCTGGCCACTCTGGAAATCGTAATCCAGGGAGTACTGCAGTCGTCCCAGCTCGTGCTTCTCTGCCACCTGCTGCCCTGGCCCGGACAGTGCCGGCTCCAGCTCCTCCACTTCCGGTTGCACCTTGGGGAGCCAGGGGCAAGGGCGGGTAAACTCTTCCCCTAAGGGTGTCATCCTCCAGGCCCAGAAGCCAAGGGAGACTCACACATCTCTAGGTTATACCTGAGCACTTGGGGACTAAGCAGCATCGGTGTTCGATTATTGATGTCTGCCACTGGGGAGGGAATAACCATAGCAGCACAGGGTGTAGTGTATTTTCGGTGTTTGATTGTTGATGTCTGCCACTGGGGAGGGACTAGCCATAGCAACACATGGGTGTAGTGTATTTTTGGTGTTTGATTGGTGATGTCTGCCACTGGGGAGGGAATAGCCATAGCAACACATGGGTGTAGTGTATTGTTGGTGTTTGATTGGTGATGTCTGCCACTGGGGAGGGAATAGCCATAGCAACACATGGGTGTAGTGTATTTTCGGTGTTTGATTGGTGATGTCTGCCACTGGGGAGGGAATAGCCATAGCAACACATGGGTGTAGTGTATTTTCGGTGTTTGATTAGTGATGTCTGCTGTGGTTGGGGCTAGGCCAGTGATGGCAAACCTTTTGAGCTCGGCGTGTCAGCATTTTGAAAAACCCTAACTTAACTCTGGTGCCGTGTCACATATAGAAATTTTTTGATATTTGCAACCATAGTAAAACAAAGACTTATATTTTTGATATTTATTTTATATATTTAAATGCCATTTAACAAAGAAAAATCAACCAAAAAAATGAGTTCGCGTGTCACCTCTGACACGGGTGTCATAGGTTCGCCATCACTGGGCTAGACAGTGGTGAAATAGGCACCCATGGTAGCCTAGAAAAACAAGTGTAATAGGATTTCCCTGACTTCAGGAAGGAGGCAGGAGATTTTATTTCACGTGGATGTATCGGGGTTGTGCAAATTGCTACGTTGTTTAGACAAAGGCAAACTATGGGGGTGAAAATGGCGTATTTACTGTGTATTTGCCCTTCTAAACTAGAACAGCAAAGTCAGAAGACTTCTCCTTAACCCAGGCCACCCATTTTCAACATCCGACGTGAAGCAGAATTGCCCTGATTGGGGTGGCAGAATGCGCCTTCACTTCAGAGATTCTGACTCAGCGGGTTTGGTGCGAGATCCAGAATTTGCCTTTCAATGACACCGGAGGTGGTTCTGACACAATGGTCTCTGGAAGTCATTGGCTTAAGGGTTAGGGATGGGAACTGGATACCAGAACCCTCAAGGGCATCACTATGGGTAAGAATTGTAACCGCTACTTTTGAGAAGAGAAGAGGGGAAAATATGAGTTATGGACCATGCACTTGAGGCTCAGAGAGGGACAGAGGATTCCCCAAGGCCACACAGCTGGTTGGAAACACCAGGCTCTCTGGCTCCCAGGTGAGCACCATTGCATGTTGCATCCAGAGACCTGATGCTCAAGTCCTCGCACCTGTAGCCTTGCATTTCCCACGCCAATCGCTTCTTCCAGCTCAGGGCTCCTTCCTCCTCCCTGGGCTCCATCCCCCATGTCTGTCCTCCACACGGATTCCTAACATCCAACTGGCCCTGCCCCTGTCCTTCTCAAAGCTTCCATGGCTCCCAATCACCCTCCTTCCGTGGACACTGCTGTCTCTCCAGCCACCTCACTCTAGAGCAGTGGTTCTCAACCTTCCTAATGCCGTGACCCTTTAATACAGTCCCTCATGTTGTGGTGACCCCCAATTTCATTGTTACAAATTGAACATAATTAAAGCATAGTGATTCATCACAAAAACAATGTGTAATTATATATGTGTTTTCCGATGGTCTTAGGCGACGCCTGTGAAAGGGTCGTTCCACCCCAAAGGGGTCGAGACCCACAGGTTGAGAACCGCTGCTCTAGAGCACAGTACACGCTCCGCCCATTGTGAAAGTGACCTATTGTTCCCCAAATACCCCCGACAACCTGGATTCCAGGCCCCAGCATATGCTCCTTGGGCTAGAATGTCCTTCCCTCTGCTCTCAGTTAACTCTGTGGGTCCCCTGGTCTCAGCACAGAAGTCACCTCCTCTGGGAAGCCTTCAGGGACCTTCTAGGCTGTGAGGTGTTTCCATACGCCTGGTGCTACCTCTGGTGGGGCACCTACCGCCTTGCATTGTGAGTATGTGAGTGTCTGACTTCCCCGCCAAACCGAAAGGTTCTTGCGACCAGTGACTACTGGGTCCGGCCCATCCCCAGTTCCCCTGGGTCCGGTTTGGGGCTAGATCCACCCAGGAGATGGGCAAACAAGGTAGGCAGAGGCGGGAAGGGGCAGGGCCACACCTTGTTTATGTAACTCCGGCCCAGCTCCTTCACTTCCTGAAGGTGGACCTGGGCTTGCGCCTGGCTCTTCTTGCCCAGCCGCCTCCGACAACGCTTCCGGTACAGACAGAAACAGCAGCTGAAGACGAGGAGGCCTGAGACCAGCACGACTGTGGCCAGGGCCCAGGGGGGCACTGCGAGGACAAGGACACAGAGACACTGAGGCCCTGGGACGTCGGTGTGATCTCACCTATGCAGCCATTTGATGCCCTAACCCAGCCTGACACTGTCTGATTTTTTTTTTTTTTTGCCCATCATTTCCACCCCCCATTCTAATGTTTCTGCTCAACTCCTGTTGCTTTTGGAAGCCTGAACCCCTCCTCGAGCCTATTTCCTTATCTTTAAAATGGGACAGCTCAGCGGTAGAGCGTGAACAGCTATCAACCAGGAGGTCAGGGTTCAATTCTGGGTCAGGCACATGCCCCAGTTGTGGGCTAGATCCCCAGTAGGGGGCGTGCAGGAGGCAGCCCATCCATGATTCTCTCATCATTGATGCTTCTATCTCTCTCTCCCTCTCCCTTCCTCTCTGAAATCAATAAAAATATTTTTTAAAAAGAAAGAAAACATAAAAGAAGGGACAGGTGGACCCTCTAATTCACCAATGCAAGAGCCCGTTCCACTCCACGCCCCCTTGGTCTGGTTCTAGTGGTGGTTTTTTTTGTTTTGTTTTTTTTGTTGTGTTTTTGTTTGTATGTTTGTTTGTTTTATTTTTTTTGTAGCAAACCTGTTTTTTTTCCATTTCATTTAGATTCCAGCCCAGGATTCCTACCAGGATCCCATCCGGATTTGCCACCCGCCAAGCACACCCGTCCGAATCCCGCCCCAGTAAATCCTGGCCCGACTTTCCCTCCGCTCCAACCCCGGATCCGGCTCACCAGGGCCGTGGCTGATGCGACTTGAGTCCGGAGGCGTGTCGGACGCTGGAGGCCCGGGGGTTGGGGGCTCCGGAAACATGACGGCGGGGTCCTGCGGTCCTTTCTGCGGAGGCACCCAAGCGCCCTAGCCTCCCACGCCCACCCATGCAACCATTGAGTCCTCCGAACAACAAAGAACTACAACTCCCATTGGCACCCTGGGCGACCGGCCGCACGGGAGTCGGCCCGCCGCCGCAAGGCATGTTGGGGGTTGTAGTTTCAGCCTCCCCGAGAAGGAGGGAGTGCGCTGGGGGTGCGTTCCAGGACTTAGTTCCATCCCAAAAGGACGCCTCCTCGGTCCCAGGTCCCCGCAGGAATCCCGCCTGACTTGTCCCCTTTCTTTGCCGCCTTTCCAGGACCCTGAATCGGAAGCGGGCGAAGGCGAGCGTGGGAACCCAGCGCACCCAGTTGCCCAGAGCAACCGCCTTGCTGCGCTGGGGCCCGGGTGGGAGTCACTCTGGTTGCCCCGGCAACGGCCTGTTGCCACGACAACGGGCGGGGCTCCACAGACTAAAGACCT